AAGTGCTAGTTTATAAGTGAATATGTCTTGTATCACTATGTTCACATCAACACTATTACTGCACTACATTCCTTAATGTGAACTTTTTGATACATAAAAGTTCAATAATAATAACAATGATAATGATGATAATAACCAAGATAGTGATGATGATAATGATAACAATAAAAGTGATACTGATAATAATGATAATGATAATGATGATCATAGTAATAATAGTGATAATAATAATAATGATGATGATGATAGTAATAATAACTTTACTATTAATAATAATGAAAACAATAAGATAATGATAATAATAATAGCTAGTAATAGTACTTACTGTTAGTGATAATGGAAACAATAATAAGATTAATAATGATAATAATAATGATTGAAAATAACGATATGATTATAATGAAATGATAATAATAATATAATAATAATAATAATAATAATAATAATAATAATAATAATAATAATAATAATAATGATAATGATAATGATAACAATAATGATAATAGTTATAATCATAATAACACAAACAATAATACTGATAATAACAATGATTAATAATAATGATGATGATAACAACAATAATATCAATAATAATAATGATGATAATAATAATAATGACAATAATTATAATAGTAATAATAATAATAACAATGATAATAGTAATGATGATAATAATAACAACAAGAACAACAACAACAACAGCAATAATAACAACAACAACAATAATAATAATAATAATAATAATAATTAATAATAATAATAATAATAATAATAATAACAATAATAATAATAATAATAATAATAATAATAATAATAATAATAATAATAATAATAATAATAATAATAAATAATAATAATAATAATAATAATAATATAATAATAATAATAATGATATAATAACAATAATAATAATAAATGATGATGATGATGATTATGATAACATAATGATAATGATGATGATAGCAATATAATAATAATAATAGCAATAATAATTAATAATAGATAATGATAATGATAATGATTAATAATAATATAATAATAATATAATAATAATAATAATAATAATAATAATAATAATAATAATAATAATAATAATAATAATAATAATAACAATAATAATGATGATGATGATGATAATAATGATGATAATAAATAATAATAAGATTGATTATGATAATAATAATGATAATAATAATGAATAATGATAATAATGATAATAATGATTATGATAATAAAATTATGATAAAATATAAAAATGATAAATATGATAATAAAATTATCATATATAACAACAAAAATAATAATAACGATACATAATATCAACAATAATAGTAGTAATAATAAAATAACGATAATAAAAATGAGAAAAGAGAGAGTGTGTGTGTATGTGTGTGTATGTGTGTGTATGTGTGTATGTGTGTGTGTGTGTGTTGTGTGTGTGTGTGTGTGTGTGTGTGTGTGTGTGTGTGTGTGTGTGTGTGTGTGTGTGTGTGTGTGTGTGTGTGTGTGTGTGTGTGTGTGTGTGTGTGTGTGTGTGTGTGTGTGTGTGTGTGTGTGTACACGCGCTTACTTTCCAATACCCCCTCCCCCCTACTCCATGCTATTACCTCCAATTTTTAGACTTTCCCCTCCTCTCCTCACTTATACGTCCCCACTTCTCCCCTCTGCTTCTTTGACAGGAAAATCACATAATTACGTTTTCCCCGCTTTGCCCCTTCCAACACTCCCTCTCTCTTACACTCCCTTTATTCCCTATTCCCTCTTATAACACTCCCCTTCTCCCTCCTTATAACGGCCACACACCCCACGCCGGCCACGGGACAGACGCCGGTTTTGTTTACATAATCAGCTGTACACAATCAGCTGATTTCCTCAAAACACGTGATTGGAGTGTGAGGGAAGGTAACTGTTTTTATTTTAATGTTTTTGACGTTATCTTTCGGTGATTTTTTTTATGTACCATGTGAGGTCTTCGACACCGTTTCAGATGTTTGCTGTATGAATTTGTCATTGATATGTAATTCGATATAGGAGCACCAGAATGTTCAGATAAGATTGTGATAGTAATACCAAATGTTATGTACTTTTACGCTTAAACGTTTTTTGATCAGTATTAGAAGATATGATCGCACTCTTATGTTTAGAGCAATGATCACCAGTATCATCATTATTTCTATTACTATATGTCAATAAACTGTCATTACTTCTAGGTACTGTATTTCACAATGGATATTCCACGTTCAAGTATTGCAGTGACTTTGCTGGCAGCTGTAGCAGTGACCTTAGTTTTCAAGTTTTGGTCATCTTGGAGGAGGCCGAGGGCACCCAGAATTATGAGGCCGCGTGTGAAGTAAGAATTATCTGTGTACAGTGCAGGCAATTAATATATTAGCTTGATTATCTTTATTTTATTCTCATTGTGTTTCTTTCCGAAAGTTGCTTTTACTGACATTATGTTTTTGGATAGAAGGGATAAATGTATTTTGCTGTGTACTATAGAGTAGTAGAATTCATGACGCCAGGGCATACATGTATGCCCTGACGAAGCATTAGCGAAAAGGCCTTCAGCATATTCATTTGTTTTCTTGTTCTTCCCTTCATTCTTGCTGGTGCACTATAGGGTAGACATGACATAAAAAAATATCTATATAAGGGTAATCTTAATTTTACTTATTTATTTATTTATTTTTTTTTTTTTCATCAAGGAATTTGGAAGAACTTAAGGACAGAAGCTGGCAGCTTGTTGGAAGGGTCTCCAAGGTATATTTGTATCCCATTAAATCTTGTGCAGGGATATGCCTGGCCTCTGCTCAGGCTACTGAACTTGGCCTCAGCACTGGCACCATCAGAGATCGGTAAGAGTTGCTTAATTTCTGTGATGAAGTCAGTGAGATATACTTTTCTGTGGTTGCACCGTTCACTGTACTAAAATCAGCACTTTTGTGTAAATATCTTGCCAAATATGATTAGTATAAAAGACTCCCGAAATGCCTTTTAAACTCTGTACATGTGATATTGTTCTGCAGATCTTTGATCATAATGAATGAAAAGGGTGTGATGGTGACAGGTAGGATGATCCCAGCAACGGTAAAGATACAAGCTTCTGTTGAAGATGGTGTTCTTACTCTCGAGTTTCCAGGTGCTCCAACATTCTCTGTTCAACTGTCACAAGTTGAGGAAAAGAACATACAGAAAACTACAAGGTAGATAGATCGTGTTTCTTACTAGTGATGTGATGTGCATATATGTATTGCGAAAAATAGAATTACAGTTATGTTGATTTAACAATTTTTTTACTTTACAAAATTTATCTAAATAGCTGTAAATAATATCAATAGTGACAAAATGATACCATGCATAAAACAGGAAGCCATTCATTTGAACATTTTAAATGCTATCATAAATAGAATATTGTAGACAATTTTAGTGACACTAAGGATTACTTCCCAGGGTATGGGATGACACAGTCCCTGGTCTCGACTGTGGAGATGAGGCAGCATCTTGGCTGAAGGAAGTTTTGGGTCGAAAGTGTCGCCTTCTTTATCATGGCAGCATCCCTTCCCCAAGGAATACCGACTTGGGGGAGGAATATCCACTCCTACGAGATGATGATAATGTGAGTTTGAGCATTGTTATTTTTCATTACAGTGCAAAAGATTTTTAATCCTCTCTTTATAGTTAGCTAGAGGTAGTATTCACACTTAGTTTTATTTATCTTTAGTGCTTTTATTTTTTAGATTACATATATATTTTTTTCTGTTGACATTGATTTTCTTAATGGTTTTAATTTATAGTGAGAAAAGTAATTTCATTTATTTATGATTGACTGATACTTTACTTCATCTGTGGGTCATTTCCTATACACTTGAATATATTTCTCAACATAATGATTTACCAATCAAACAGCAAATGAATTAATATCAACTCTCATATATATTGATAGATAGATAGATGATGGATAGATAGATAGATAGATAGATATAAATATAGATATATACATATATATATACATATACATAGACATAGATACGTACATATATACTAAAGTTCTTCATGATTTTAGTCTTTATATGCAGATTTGACTGGATACATGCTAATGACAAGGGAATCCATCGGAGATCTAGAGACCAGAGTGAAGTCTCATTTACCGCCTCAGAATTTCCGTCCAAACATCCTGGTGGAGGGGACTAAGGCTCCATATGATGAGGACTTGTGGGAATATATCAGGATTGGCAATACTCTTTTCAGAAATGTCAAGCCTTGCTCCAGGTAAGATTGCTTTTGGAAGAATACCATGTTCTTCAGAGGTGTTATCTGTTAAAAATTCTGTCATCAGTTATATACTAGTGAGAGAGTTAAATGGTTTGTATTACTTTTATGTATACGTATATTATGTTTGATGTGAGTAATACAAGAATATGTTTCTCTTTATCCAGATGACTTTGATATAGCAGACACAATGGTAATGTTTTTTGTGAATTATTTAGGAACTCAGTAATCAGTGCTTTTGCTTTAGAAATACTGCTGCAAATCTACCCACACAGTTTATCAAAATAATTGATGCATGTTTATTGTAGCTATAAACATATTCAAAGATTTTATTCTGACTCTATGATAATAATAATCATATTACAAGGTTGATGCAATATTTGTGCATTTGTGTTTTCATCTTACATTTTTAATACCACCTCAAAGCTGAAAATGTACTAATGATATTTTGTTTCTCCTTGCTTTAAACACTTTAATCCTTTCTTTATACTGAAAGCTACACTACTTTTATCTTTCCAGTATCATTATTCTCATAATCAGTTAGACTAATGGTTCAGTCATGATTTTATTTGACTGCCGGGATTGTTCTGTAACAAGCATAGTATTCAGACAGTTGGCACCAGTTCTGAGAGAATCATTAATGCTCAATTTGAAAAAGTCAGCAGACAAAATAGGAAAAGAAATTGTATAATTTGCTTCCATGTTCTTAGTATTATGCTAGTCTTATTACTGCTTCTTAGATCTGTGTACTCTGAAACTTAATTATCCTGATATACAAAGTAATTAAGTATTAGATATTTATCAGATGGCACTGTCTTTATGAATTAACCTATATCACAACAGTTACTGTACAGCTATATATCAGACTGTCAAAGTTAATTCTAAATCCCATATGGAAATGAGTATTATGAAATTCTAAGTTGCTTTTACTCCAGTTTTACTATTCTTATCTTGGAAATGGTTCTTAAGTAGAAAACTCATGACTGGTAATCATGTAGACTGAAGATAATGTAGCATCATCTTGTCTTTACCAAAAAATTAATGACCAGGGCTTTTGGCAAACCAGCACATATAAAGAAAGGAAAACACCAACAGAAGTAAATATGCATATTCCAGTGGCACTCTTCTCAATGCTGTAGTAAAAGATTAGAATATGTGTGGTCAGAAGAGTTCAGTCTTCATCAGTGACATTTTGAACGTAATATGGAATTCTTTTGTAATTGCTTCAATTATAGGGTGTGTTCTTTTGTTTGTTTGCTGAAATGCTTTCTAATGCTTAGCACAGTTGACCCATTGATGTGTATACCTGCCATGTCTACTGTAATTTTTGTTTATTAATATTGTTTACACCTAGATGGCTCTATAAGAGCATACATAACAGTGAGTCAATTATAGTATTGATATTAAGAGCATGACAGAAAATAAAATTTCTCCCAATAATTCAAGGAATTGGGAAATCATGAAGTGAGGTAGGACTCTCTCTCTCTCTCTCTCTCTCTCTCTCTCTCTCTCTCTCTCTCTCTCTCTCTCTCTCTCTCTCTCTCTCTCTCTCTCTCTCTCTCTCTCTCTCTCTCTCTCTCTCTCTCTCTCTCTCTCTCTTTCTCTCTTTCTCTCTTTCTCTCTCTCTTCTCTCTCTCTCTCTCTCTCTCTCTCTCTCTCTCTCTCTCTCTCTCTCTCTCTCTCTCTCTCTCTCTCTCTCTCTCTCTCTCTCTCTCTCTCTCTCTCTCTCTCTCTCTCTCTCTCTCTCTCTCTCTCTCTCTCTCTCTCTCTCACTCTTCCCACTGGACCGCATTAGTCAAAGAACTTAAAGAGAAAACTGACATCTGTTTTTAGATGGCAGTTTCAGTCTTTTTTTTTTTTCATTTCCTCTTTGCTTTCTTATGCCTGTATAAAAGTAAAAATATACATATTAGCATGGCAGGGCACTATAAACTTAAACTGTGTTCATATACATATTTATTTGAAAGGTAAGGAACCTATTTTGAAATTACCTTCATGCAATGTTTTTCTTTTTTAGATGTATTTTCACAACAATAGACTATCAGACGGGAAAGAAGGATTCTAACATGGAACCACTGCGCACTCTCAGGAGGTGAGTATATATAAAGCATAATTTTTACTTTTCCTTCTCTTTTATTAGATGGCTTGTTATAATGCAAAAATTTTCTTTTTCTTAACCATTTTTGAAGGGATATTTTATTTCTAAAGCTTTCTGTCAGACATTAAAACATGAGAAAGAAAAAAGATATTTGACAATTTTTAAAAAGTATCTTTAATAAAGTTTTGTTCCCTGGATTTAGCACCAGAATTAGCTAATTTTGAGCAGATGCTTTTCAAAACAGAATTTCTAGTGCCACACACAGCCAGGCATATATTTCTACACATAACCAGCAGATGGTCCAGCATTTGTTTTTATCCAAAGTCAATTTGGATGTGACAAACACTGCTGTATATGGCAGTTTACAAACATAGACTTTTACTTATGAGTATACCTGTAGATAGAATAGATGTCTGGTAATATTCTTTAAAAAGATTATGTACAGTAAATAATAAAAAAGAAATGAAAGTTGCTAACATCTTGATGCAGATATCATTGTAGGGTCTGCCAGTTTCAATTGATCCTATGTTGTCTGGAAGAAACCAAATATCAGGTGACAAGCATCATCTAATATATACCTGTATGTTTTTCAGTTACAGATGTGTAGGAGGAGATAACAGTCCGCATTTTGGAATCAACTTGGGAGTTGACATAACAGGAACTATTAATGAAGGAGATGCTGTGTATGCAACTTATTTGAATTGAACTTTTTTTTTTATCCCAGTGTTAAGTTAATGAATTTTGATTTCTTCATATTTTGTATGAATTATTGACATATAATGTTGCTGCTATGATTATATATATATATATATACCTTTAGTTTATTTTTGTTCATGTTACTTTTTATACAGTAAGTATTGAAGAGCAATTACAGAACATTTGTGTTGACATTTTCTTTTATATTCACATAATGTTGATTACAGCAGAGATGGATAATGTTTTTGTTTAGATTTTAAAGCTCAGTACTTGAATATGTAATAAAGGTAAAAAATAAATATGTATTCATATAAGCAGTATTTTTTATGTCTTTAGAAGTGCCAACATTGATATTGTAGCTTTTATCATTTGTAACTTTTAAGCTATTAAAGCTTACAAGACAATGGGAGTAGATCTTGTATTTTTATAAACCCTTT